TCCCCCTTAGTTCTTATTTTCGTCGTTGTAGAAAAATCTAGATGCGGCCGTTAAAACGGTTTGAGAGGAGATCGGATGAGTTATTTGCAAACGGCTTTGTGACTTTTTTTTTCATAGCAAGACCAGTCTCTTTCCTGTTAACTCGACATACAGAATTGACTCTACATCTTTCATTCAAACTGTTAATCAAAACTTTGTTATATATTTGTAATTTTTTCCTTGATATGCTAATGGGAAAAAAAGTTAAAAAATAGAAACCAACGATTCCGCATTTGAAAGGAGATATGGTAAGATCGATTAAAACACCGCCATCTTACCGTCACTCGAAACGGTCCCCCGATGTCTCGTTAAATCAGCTCGACTGTCCCATTCTTCTTACTGCCCTCCGGTAGATTTCAGTTTGTCTCGGTAAAGGGACCGTAATTGGACGGACAATTAAAAAAAAAAGGTACAAGAAAAAGAGAGAGAGAGAGAGAGAAGAGAAAGAGGAGAGAAAGAGGAAGGAAGAAATACAACATTGCCTTTTATCAGCGTCGGCTATCTTCAATAATTAATCCTCGCGCTTGTAACTAGCCTAAGCGCTTATTACGAATCTTTAATAGCATTGGGCATACTGGACAAATGATTTGCTAATTAAGACCGTTGTGAACTTCAATACAATAAGATGAGGAATGTTTTATGTTTCTTCTTTTTTTTATATTATATCTTATTGAAAATATAAAAGCATTGAAAATTCCGTACGTGGTAAGCAATAAGAAAGTTTTTTCACGTTGCCAATTCTAATATATCTAAATCGTTGTATTTCGTTTGGATGCGAAAGCGTACGAATATACGCGGCTAAATGGAAGGACAAAATCCTCACCGAAAATGTGGAAATCGCGTAATATTCCGCGGACAACCCGGCGCCTTTCGAATGCACGGAACGTTCGTGGAATAAATTTAGGTGGTACTCGAGCAGAAAGCTGATTTACCAGGTACGACCAGTTGCGAAACTGCTTTGATTACCGCCATAGTAATTCTGAAGCCTTTTCCAGAAAGAAAAAGAGACCTTTTCTTCGCGATCGTACGATCATTATTCCATCAATTCATCTTAATCGTGAAAACTAAAGCTAAATGAATTTGATATCGAGTTACATTTATAAATATATGCTTACATCTAACTACACGTAAAACAGTAACAAGATAATTACTTGAAAAATGACCAAGTAACGTTCATTACGTAGTATTGACAGACACAATTAGCAAATACACGTGTATGGACTAAGACAATTACCACGTGCTTACTTTAATACTGAAAATTGATATTTGATAATAACATAAAGGATAATTATCGCAATAACATATGTACGTATTTGGTTGAAAGAATATCGAATTAGTTCATTTACGTATTGACCCGTAGGCTTGATAGGAAGGTGCGAAACGATTCGATGAATTTTGAATAACCATCGAAGGTACGCATCCACGCGCCACCGCGATATTCTTGGATGAGAAAAAAACTTGTAGCCCCTAAGGCATGCATAATTATGCATCGATCTTGTAAAGTATATTACGGAATTCAGCATGCAAGGTAAAACTTGCATCTTGCCGATAATCGTTACACCTAACCTATCTCTACGGGGAACAAGAAACAACCCTCTCCTTCTTCTTCTYTTTCCACCCTTTTATTCTCTTCACCCCAACTGCATTGCATTCTATTTAAAACGCATAAGAGAAAAAGTAAACTGGTGAATGGAAATAACGTGTACGTACGAATCTAATGGGACTTTATTTTGTCGATGTATTTTACTTGAATACTGAAAGCTGTTGGGTTAAGTATTTTATAATACTCCGAGAAAGACGATGCTTACACGTTAAGCCACTTTGTTCAATACGATCCTACCTGAGTATGTACATTGCGTTACGTACTTACATACATGTCATATGAACAACGATTAGTTTACACAGAATTCGACCACTTTACAAGGCTACGAAGAAAAATCATTGCTTTCAATTCTCCCCACTCGTAACGATTCTTTAACGATGAAGATGAACATTGTTGAAACTAGCATGGAATCTTTGAAGAATGATATTCGGTATAGGAGAGAATTGTAGAAGTAGAAGATTTACCTGTAAGTATTCAGGTAGATTTCAAAGAGTCTGTTAAAAATGGTGCCCTCGTGGATTACGAATCCTGTGGCTAAGATGTCCGAGATAGGAAAGGAATATTCGAGCAACCCCAATGGGGACCATTAGGGAGCCGAAAGCGGTTGGGCCAGTCGCCTATCTGCATCCTCTTCTGTCCACCATTGAACCCTCTTTCTCTGTCTTCTTTTCTTTCTCTTCCTTTCCCTTCCTCGATCATCTTTTTTCTCTCTGTCCCTCTCTCCGGTGTACGGGAGAGGAAGACGGGGGATGGCCGGCCGGTCAAGCCACATTCCGTTGGCCAACCGACTCCTTGGAACCCTTCCTCCCCCTCTTTGGTAGACGGTTCTCTTCGTATAAACGTTCTCGCCTCCTTATGAACCACCACGATATGTGGTCGCAAGAGTGCCAATATTATTTCGACTATGTAACCTTGTAACCAACGCAATCCGTAATTCAAAAATCAAATATGAGTAATAAGACAGGTCTCTGATAATAATCGTTAAAGAAAGTAAGGGAACTATTCAGAGCTAAAGGTTACAGACAGATCAAAACAATTTTCTTTAAATTCTCATACTCGAATATAAAGATTTTTTCTTCTTCCAGATAATGGACGATCAAGAAAATGATGCTAACCTTTCTTTCATCGATATTTTCTTTTCTTTTCCTTTTTTTTTTTCTTTTATTCTTTGTTTTATCGAATAAATGATGAAGAAAATTATCTTAACCATCTTCTCGAATATTTTCTTTCGAAAGAGAAAGAGAGAGAGAGAGAGAGAGGAAATTGTTCTAACGTCTCTTTCACTAATACGTTTTTTTTCCAAACTAACGATCAAGAGAAAATTATCTTAACCTTTCTTTCTTCGATGTTTTTGCGAGATAGATAATCAAGAAAATTGTCCCTATCCTTCTCTAATAAGTTTTTCTCTTTTCATTCAAAAGCGCCGACCAAGAGAATTGTCTCAACTTCTTTCTAATCTCGATTATATTTTTTTTCGATAAAGAATGAAGAAAGTTGTCTTGACTCTATCTTTTTCCAAAAAAAAGAAAAAAGAAAAAAGAAAAAAAGAAAAAAAAGATGGCGAAGGAAATGTTCCAAGCTCACTTTCTCTACGATCATTTGTTTTTTCTGAAAAAAAAGATATATTATATGAAAATAAAAATTGTCGTATAACTTAAAAAGGAGAATACATTTACGGTCCGTTGTTAGTTGTGTTAGATGACATGTTGCGCGGGAGGGATAAAGTTAATTTATTTCAAACAATGCGACTCTCACGATCAGCGTCACGCACGAAGTATATCCGTTTTTGGACGTTAGATTAAATCGAAGATCGGCAGGTTAACGTAATCCGATAGGGTTATAAAGAGTCTCTCTATCTTTCTTTATTTCATTCTTTCTTTTTTTACTCTCTGTCTGCATTTTAGATCGGCCGATAAAAGAGTTGCTTAGTTCAAAGTGGTATAACTGTAAAGCGAGTCCGGTGAAATCGAGCTACGGCCTCGTTCGTTCGTTCGTTCCATCGAATTTGTACGTCATTGTAAATGGATCTTTTCGCGCATGCGTACCTTCCACACACACATATATACATATACTATACCAAATACATATAACGATAGACTAATGTTCTTCTCTCCTCTTTCCTCCTACGATTTGCATAGAAACGAGAGAGAATTTTTGTCGTTCCTCTATCTGACCCGGATCTTTATTAACGCGTACATTCTCTGATGTAGTCTATTCAAGATCACCAACCAAGGCTCGTATAGATCGCGAATGATCAAATCGCTTCGATAATTTCGAAGCGGCGATCACTCTTATCCACGTTTAAACTAATAAATAATACATCCGGCGCCGGTATGATTTATCAAAGAATTCGCCTCCAACGTTTCCTTCGAGCCTTAAGTGCTGATGTACTCGCGTTAAATCCGAATACCGGCTTTCCCTCTTTCTTTCTTTCGAATACACTTTTATATCTTTTATAAGCACGCGCACGCATATATTACGGTCGCGAGCGCGCACGGGCGGCCGTCCCCATACATGTGTGTGTGTGTGTGTGTGTCTATATATTAGTAAGATGTAGAGATACAAAAATATTTCAAGTCCGGTTTGGAAAAGTTCAAAATCCTTCGAAAGATAATTATTTACTCCAAGAGACTCGATTTAATTATCGATAATCTTTCACATAGAATATAATTATACGGTGTAGTAGTAAAGTTTAACAGAAATGTTCGAGAATTCTTCTTTGATAACAAAAAAAAAAAAAAATAAAGTAGAATAATGAAAAATTGGATTCCTTAAAGGTGTCAATGACAGAGGTATGGGTTAAGGCCCTTGTGAAGGTTCCAGAGATTTCTCTCTCTCTTTATATACATATACATATAACATATATTTCTGTTGTTCTTTTTGTTCCCTGAAGGAGAAGAGATCGCCCACGCCAGGGCCTTAGCTGGGGTCTGTAGCTGTAGCTATAGGGACCGACGTAAAAGTCAGGTTCAAATCTGTGGCCTCCGCCACTTCTTCGAGCTCCCTCTTCCATCGGCCGTAGAGTCCAGCACCTCTCCCTTTTTCTGCTCGTCGTCCACCCGCGATCTTTGCCTTCTCATTCCTCTTCTCTCTGACTTCTCATCTCGTCTGTTTCCTCTCTCTCTCTCTCTACTCTCTTTCTCTCTTCTTTCTCTCTCTTTGCCCGCCCCCGAGGGCTCTGGACTTGTCGAGACGAGCCACGTCGAGGAGACCAAAGAATGCATAGAAGCATACCATGGAAGCCGGTTGGCTCGACGACCAACAGATACAAAGAGAAAGAGAAAGAGAAAGAGAAAGAAGGAAGAGATTTACCAAGTTTATTTAATCTTCTTGACTATTATCATTGCATAGAATAAGATTAAAGTTAGATATAACAATGAAATTAGCAAGTAAAACTAAAAGATCATTTTCAAAGAAGTATATATATAAACGTATACAATGTATATTTGAAAAGAAAGAAATAAAGAAGGAGAGAAAATGTTGAAGCAGCGACTCCTGCTCCTCCTCACGAAGCAAGCTTCTACGGGGAAAGGGGCCTCCCGACAGCAAGACTGGTGGAGAGGACGAGAAGTGACCGGATGGCCTTGGTCTCGAGACTCGGTTAGTTACCGTGCGGCCGACTATAACCGGCCGTGCCACAGGGTGGTATCTCCGATTTCGACCGCTTTTTGAGACGACCGACCCCGCCACAGCACCAGAAGCGACTGGAGAAGGAGAAAGAGAACAAGAGAGAGAGAAAGAGAGAGAAAGAGAGAGAAAGAGAGAGGTAGAACACGATCGAAAGGGACGACAACGGCTTGCGCTTGCTTCTCCTTCCCTCGTGTACGCGATTCCTTCTTCTCGATGCTCCCGAACGCTCCGACTATCTCTTCAGAGTCGTTAAGAGAGACTCGGAGAACCGGATTGATCAAAATTTCTCTTTCTATCTCGTCTTGATTCATTTAACCAATCATATTTGTCCTTTTATTTCTATATGATAATCGATCAAATATTACAATTATAAAATAATATTTTTTATCTCGAAACTCCCTTCAACCCTGCTACTATCGTATAATTTAGTTGAAAATCGTTAAACCCTATATAAGATTTCCTTCTTAGTCTTTCGATAGTCGTATAAAGAAGGAATGAATGGCCTGCTTACTTATACCCAGCATTGCTCGTTGTTGCTCAACAGGGGCGACTCGCGGAGAACCCGTGCAAGAAAGTATGCCTGTAACGTGTAACAGGGTACATAGTAGTATCTCTTCGGTACAGACTCTTATACCAAGCTAATAATTATCCCATGAGTTTGCGAAATAACGTTCACTGTGTTCACTGGCCGATGTTTTGCCAGCCAGGATGCTTTTTCGCCGCCATTAATTATAAACGAACGCGTCTTTATTCTTGCTGCTCGTTAAAAGCGTTTAATCAGTGTACTATTATTACTATTACTACTACTACTTGCTATTTAATCAGTTTCCTTAACTCGAACTACTTTTATTTCTTCTACTTCTCCTTCTTCTTATGTTTTTTTTTTCTTCCTTGATCAAACGAGATAAAATTTATATTCTTATATGAAAAGTCGAGATGAAATCTGGTGCTCTAGTCACTACATGTTCAAAATCAAGATACGATAGAGCACCATCGCCATCAATGTCACTTTCCTCTAAAACTTTTTGACACACAGTATCTACTTCTTCGTTAGTTAGACCACCCTGGACAAGTTGTCGACAGGTGCGTTCTAAATCACCAACACCTAGCACGCCATCCTCGTCGAAATCTATGGAAAAAAAAAAAGGAAAACTTTGTTGGATTTATTGTTACATATTTTTCATTTATTTCTATTGGATCGTTAGATGTCGTTGTCCTTGAAAATATTTACGAAATAAGTACGATTTTGATTACGTCACGATCTTCATTATGAGTCATTTGAAAAATCTAGATTTGATATTAACATTCTATGAAATCCGGTTTGGTCGTTGAATGTTAAGAAAGCATTTGTTTCATTTCAAGTTAGCAAAGAACAACGACATCGACCTCGAAGTACTCTCACGATCCGTCTGTCCTTTCGTTAGTCCGGTTCATGTACTTGGCCGTACCGTAAATCTTGAAGGCGTAAAAGACCTTCAGATCCCGCGGTGCCTGCTCCGAGAAGACAGACATCATCTCGAGGAAATCTTCGAAACAAATACCTTCGGTGTCTTCTGATTGTTGCTTTCTATTACTTTTTGTGAACACTTCAGATATTCGTTCTCTAAATGGATTTTCCTAAAGAGAGAGAGAGAGAGAGAGAGAGAGAGAGAGAAAGAACAAAAAAGGAAGGTAAAAAATAACTGGTTTTACAACTTCTTGTTATTGTACCGAATATATTCGTTTTTAATAGCACGAATATTTAATACGAACCTTGAGTTCGGGAATACGCGTAAGACAAGACAGTGGTAAGCGTAAAGTTGATGCTTCCTGTGACGTCATCGTACGTGGGACCATTCCAGGATCACCCATCTCTCGGAAACGTTTAAATATCCTTAAAAATATAAGAAAAATATGTAAATGCAATAAAAATGATTAGAGCAAGGTTACCTTAAAATTTCTTTTCGCGTAAAAAATGTACAATCTTGATAATCTTCCAATTGGTCTTCGGAAAACGTGGCTACCTTATTCCCCATAGGTTTGCCTTTGAAATTTATTCTCTTGTCCAAGTATTTCAAAGAACAAATGAAAAACTATAAACGAACGAACGAACGAAACTTTTTCAGCGATGTATTTTAACGTGACTGAAGAAGAAATTGTTAGCGGACTTTTACGTTCTGGGATGTTCGATAGGGTATTATATAGCCTTACTAGGGTGTGTCTTGCCACTCCCATCTTCACTGGGGTCGATTTGTTATAGAGGATCATATTTTAAGATATATTTAAGATAACGTATTACGATCCTGTACATACGTATGCCCACATACGGGTGTCTTAACGAAAGGACTCATTTTTACGATAAAAACTACATGTTGCTGTTCGGTTTTTCAAAAATGATGAAAATTAAATATTATAGGTTTATTATATTTATACATTAAATATAAATATAAAAAATCAGTAATTTTATTAAACTCCTTAAATATAATGATCTTCATAGGCTTCTTTACGATCCAACAAATAATTGCAACAATCATGAAATTCATTTACATCGAGGCCGGAATCGGTAAATGCATGAAACCTGTTAATACTTCGTACTCTCATTAATTGATTATGTAAAAGTTCAAACATCGATCCAAGACTTTTGCCAGTATGTAATCCAGCCATAACTGGGACTGATCGTACTTCTATAATAAAAAAAAGTAACGTTTGTAGAACAATAATGCATACATTTGTTTGTTCAAATATTTGGATTTACCTTCTGCGACTGGCCATCCCGCGATATCTCCGGTTTCCGTAACGTTGTTGTTGAAAACTTTCGGATAAGGTGGTTTTATTTTAAGACTCGATTCTATGGTCGACAAATACGTTGCTGATGATTGATATACATAAGCTAAATAACACGTCATCATTTCGTGTACGGTCGAACATCTGTATGCAGGTTTGGACATTTGCTTATTAGCTTTGTCCATCGGTCTTTTCAATCTATCTTCCGGTATTCCTCGCAATGCTATACTTTGCATACTTTTATCTATTGGTACATCACAACTAGGTGTCAAACTTGTCAACATGGAACCTTCATAATCGTCTAATACGTCGATCAAATCTCGTTTGACCGTCATTGGAAATGGTAAACTTAAACTAGTTATTGCCGCTTTTCCATTATAAGAGAGATCGGCACATAAATCGGATAATACTACATTCGCATATTCTTTACGTCTATATCTCAAACTCAATGTGTCTAATGCAGTTGCCAGTATCGAACTGGTGTGATATTTAAGTTCTAATTCGTAATTTAAATTGTCAAAATTTCGAGGAAGGCCTATTTGGGGCCAACCACTTTGTCCACAACAAATAGGACTAAAGAGCGATGAGTATTCTTCTAACTGTTGCCAACATAATGCTATGTTAATTGCTTTAATTATGTCTGATGTAGATGAATCGGTGTTTCGACCGTCGATAGATGGAAATGTTATAATACTTTTGCCATATTCGTCTCTTAAATGTTGAATGCACGAGACACCAAGCCCGGAAAATCCATCTGTTGAGTCAACCAGTACCTGTTTTTTTATTTAAATAATAATGTAATACTGAATCTATGTTTTTTATAATTATTATTACAAAATATAGATTTGAAACTTACTTGAAAGCCTTGCATTAAATCGCATTCTTCAACATAAGCTCGTATTTTATCAGTGAAATCATCTGAAAATTGTTCCTTCTTCCATAAATTTCTACCATAGGTATAAATATCAAACTGATGATCGCTAGAATTATGTTCATATTCTTTTATAGTGTTAACTGTTCTCGAATGAAATCTAGGCACTAAGTAATCGACCCATGTGTTTACAGAATTTTCTAAATCAATTTCTTGCAATTGTGCTGCTTCTGCTGACTTATCTAAACTTTCTATGAAGGCTGGTTTAGAACATGGATTTTCTTCTTTTATCTCTACGTTTTGTTCATCCCATAGTAATGAAGATAATTCTTCGTGTTGTGGAACATCATACAAAGTTCCACTTTCTTTTAAGTAACCCAATGTTCCTTTCAAATCCACTAATAAAAGTCTGGGACAAAATGTTACTTGTTTCTACAACAAACAAACAAACAAACAATAATTCAATTTATATAATTCATTTTGAATATAGAGTAGCAAATTATGTTGTTCCTTTAAATTTTACCTTGAAATTTTCTCCTTCTCTGTACAAAACATCATGATTTATCTCGGAAGGATTGTTAGGATCATAAGAAAAATTATTTTCCTAAAAAATGTACGAACATAAGTAAAACATTGATGAAATATTTTTCATTCAGAAATAAGATGAAGATTTAAAAAATTGTAATAATAATACCTGAAGATTCCACCAATGAGTTCCAATGAAGTTGGAGTAATGGCCTAATTGAATTGTTAATATTTCTCGTGTTGTCATTTTTGTATTAATTTGTTTTTTAATAAATTAATGTTAAAAAAATTTAATGATTCAAATTAAATTACATTTGATCATTGTCAATATTAAAATATTATTTTATACGCAATTTAATATAACACAATAATTGTATTTATTACAAGTTGAATTATTTAAATTCACATAACCTTGCATCGATATATCTCTCGTATAAACCAATGTAATTGTATAGGGAAAATTCTATAAGCAGACGAAATACTTATTTATCTAGTTCTCGCTAGAGTGCATCTCAATCGCAATAAACTTTTATTCAACCAATCATATGAATGGACTTTAAATTTAAATGTCAATTTATTATATTGAATTTCATTTTAATAACAATAAGACAATTTTAATGTGTAATTAATATATTAAAATAGATAAAATCGAAATGATTTATATTAAAATATGTTAATATTAAAAATCTGATAATAATAATAATACTAATCAACTCTTATCAGTTAAACTTTCATTTATAAACTATACCGACTATATACAAGGATTTATTCGATGGGTGGTGAATAAGTTTTCAGCAATATAAATATTAGATTTTACATCATATGAAGAGTAAAAAAATGAATTTATCTTTAATTATTTAATAATTTTTCAATGAAATAATTAATAATGTTGACCAAACAAATGGAATCAAAAGTTGAAGAAAAACCGTAAGTAATTTTAACATGTCATTTAGTAACACGTAAATAAGCTAATATCAGATGGTTTTGATATACAATTTTATTTGATAAAAATGAAATAAATAATATAAGAAAATTCTACATAAATAATATATTATAGTTAGAATATAAATTACTTATATATATATATATATAGGTTATATTCTGTTTATATTTTAGTATGTATTTGTATATAGTTGATTTAGTTTGTAGTTAAAAAATGATGTTATAGTTTAAAACGTTTATAATGTGTTCTTTTTAGTATACCTAAACAGACTAAAGACGATATTAATGTGCCAGCAGTTACAGCTAAATTAGAGATGTTAACAGTAGATACTAATAATACTAATAATGCAAATAATAATACTACTAATGCAGAATCAATCCCAGAGCCCAGAAGTCGTATAATTCTTCGAAAAAGAATACCAAAAAAGAGTCAACCAGACTCTTCAAATAGAAGGTATTTATATACATACATAAATATTATACAGATGTGTATTTTGCTGGTAAATTATTTATTTATTTGTGCAACATTAGATGTAGTCTCAGACCTAAAAAAAGAAGTTTAGGAGATATGGAATCGGATGAAAATATTATGGAGTATTATTTAGATAAAAATTCAAAATACAAGGCAAATAATTTAGAAACAATTTTTGAAGAGACTGCAAATACAAATGAAAATTTCTCATATATGGGTGCAAAAAAATACAAAAGAATGATTAAGTTTGAAGAACAACCTACTGATAATAAATTGAAAAAGAGAAAAACTAAAATTAAAAGAATATTTGGATCTAAGATTAATTTTAGGCGAAAATGTGGATCTATGGATGTATTACTTGATAAGTTAAATTATATTAGAAGTAACTCACCAACAAATTCTGAAAGCGAAACAAAATAGCTATTATATTATAAATATATTTAGTAGTAATTATTTGATTATACTATTTTTATAAAAATTAAGAATACATAAACTTTTATGTTTTAACGGTTTCATTATCTCAGAACACGTTAGCACTATTCACATTTCATCGTGAAAAGTACCAAAACACACATTGAACATATATTTAAAAAAACAAGTATTATAGCATAGCTTTATTACTTTCTACAAATTTCAAATTAATATCTAATAAATAGTTAAAACAATCATGCTTAATATATGTAATCGTGATTGTATAATCTCGAAATTACTAAATACTTTTTAATACTGATACTGACATACCGTCTTGTGGTTCTCTATAAGACATTTTATATATTAATGGTAATACTATCTAAGCATGTATTTAAATCGATGTATTAACATCACCTCACTTAGTTGGTTATATACGCTTGAAATGATCAATATGACGAAAGAGACCACAGTTTTTGCTACCAAAATAATATTTTGTTAAATGTTTTTCCTTCTCTTATTTTATAAGATATTTAATAGTATACATATAATAAAAAAATCTTATAAACTTTATTAAAACTTTTATATTTTAATAGATATGTGTGTAAAAATCATAATAATTAGTTTTATTTATCAAAATAAATTACTTACAAAAAATATATATATATATATAAAAAAAAAAAATTGTTAAATTTGTTAACTGCCTGTTTATTTATTTCATTTATATTTATCAAAAATAAGAGATTAGTATCAAATAATAATAATATCGTTTAATAAATAGATTGTGCAAAAATATTTCTAACATAGAAATTATTTGATATTACATTTTATTGAAGTTGTTGAACAACCATTGTATTCCTTAAAATTACCTTTATTTTCTTTGTATTCTTTACTATCAAGATTAACACAAGCACATCTGTGTTGTTTTGAGCCAGGCATTTCAAAATACATTCTTGGAACACCAATCCAATCTCTTTCTATACCACCGCTACAAATAAAACAAATCAATATTGTTTTGTTAATACAAAAGTATATAACTTTTAGTTATAATAATTACCTTCTTTTAGAACACCATAGAGTAGTGCCTATGTTGGCTTTCCATTCTATGTTACAAGTTGGAAATAATTTTTTCTTTTTTTCTTCATTCTCTATTTCTTTCTTAGCGTCTATCAATTTTTGTTTTATTTTTAAAGATTCAATCGTTGGAGAACCATCTTCATTGAAATACCTTCCACTTAATTTACCTTGAAAAATATTACTTTTTGTTTACATCAATATTCAACATTATATACAACTTTAATTGTGTTGTGTTGTATATACCTTTATAAATATAATTTGTTTTATAAAACTGTACCCAGTCATCTAATGCTTTAATTTTTTCTAAAGAAAGTTCAGATACATCATCTGTTATTTCATTCTCATCAAATTCTCCAGTAACAAATGCTAGAGATGCATCACAACCTAATAACAAATATGAAGTTATTTATTTAAATGTAATGTTACATTTTTTCTAACGCATAATAAAGATTTTTTTTACCAACAAATATGTGATAAGATGCTCCGGGTTCATAATGTTTAGCTCCCTTAGTAACGTCAAAAACTTGTCCTAATATTGAAAGGTACAATCCATTTTCAATATTATTATATTTTTTTAACTCATCTTTAGTAAATACTTTTTCTGTCTTATTTATATCTAACAATTCCAATTCTGTTTTACTAAATATGTGTATTAAATTTTTCAATTCTTTAGGTAAAAAATGCCATGTTATTTGAAAATAATTTTCCGAATAAATTAAATAAATACTTGCTAACAAAAGACCAAACCAGACATATTTTAAAATTGTCATTGTTTACGTCTTTTTGTTTAATAAATTAATTGCATAAAGTACTTTTCATAAATAATATATCACAATAATCAATAGGTCTAAACATGATTTTTTTAAGTAGAAAAAAAAACTAATCTTTTTATTTGAAAAACAAACTGAAACAACTTATTAGAACTTAACTGAATCAATTACAGTACATTTTGTAATCTTGTATTATGTCTTTTACAGAAATATGTAATTTCATATATAATTATTTGTATTTCTTGTGAACAAATTTATGAGATGTTCAAAACTATCATGTTGAATAATAAATTACAATTGTATATTAATTTCGTTCATTTTCTCTTTGAAGTAGAGAATATTTTTTAAAGGCATATTTCTAGAAAATCTAATTGACTTGAATGTTCTTACAATTATATTCGAAAATTAAAGAAATTTATTTTATAAAATATATATCATATAAAACAGGTGTTAGAATTTCAATGTAAAACATAACATATTTATTTACGATCTAAACGTAATACTATATAAAACAAATGTCAAATTTTATCATCTCATATAGAAACACATGTAAACAGATCCCAATGTTACATGTACAGCACACAACAATAGGTTAACATAGGTTAGTTTGGTTAGCTACACTAACGCGCTCTAGTGGCAAAGATCTGTCTCGTCATTTTGCGATCGCCCTCCTATTATCTAGGCTCCGTGGTCAGATACTGCGCTAACAAATCAAAATACATTTATTTAAAAATAAAAAAAACCTTTCTTAAAACATATAGTGTATGATTCACAATACAAGTGCTTGTAACTCATTTATATAAAAATGTTTAAATGTGTTCTATTATTAAAAGTCCTAATATCTGTCAAGTAGTAATTAATAAACATATCAGTGTACAATTGTGATATTGAAAAGAGTTATGATATGCTTAACGCATCGTATTACTTTTATTTCGTTTTTCAAGAATATAATAACAATACATGTGAAAAAATTATTATCAAATAATAAAGTTTTGATTATTAGAAATAAAAGCACTAATCACAATATTATGAAAGTCCTTAATGTAGCTGAAAAAAATGATGCTGCAAAAAACATTGCTGGTTATTTATCACGAGGAAATATTAGAAAAGTAATATTATCTTGAATGAATCATTCATTTGATAAAATGATTAACTCCACAAAATAAAAAGTAAACAAAGTGGATAAATTAATATTATACTATGTCGTATTGTTTATTATTGAACAGCCATAAAAAGTGTTGTTATGATATTAAAGTTAATTTATTAAAGAAATTTATTTGCAATATTAAGTGTTAAAATAAAACTTCAAAAAGAAAAAGTTGTAAAAGTGAAGTTAATCTTTTTGATCAGTGAACAGTTCAATTTTATACATTTTATATTAAAATGTAAAAGAAACCTCTATAAAGTTAGTTATTCATATACTTCTTTTGCTTTTTTTTTTTTTTAGAGGGATGGTTTATCTGTTTATAACAAGATTTATGAATTCAATGTACGATTATGGAACGAAGATTGTCAAATGATTATGACATCTGTTTCTGGACACTTACTGGGATATGAATTTGTAGGTGCTTATAGAAAATGGCAAGGATGTCATCCTTTAAGTTTATTCGATGCTCCTGTTATAAAAAATTGTATAGATGATAATTATTTAAAAATAAAAAAGACTATAGAAAAAGAAGTAAAAAGTTGCAGAGCTTTGATCATTTGGACTGATTGTGATAGGGAAGGAGAAAACATAGGATTTGAAATCATAGAAGTATGTCGGGCAGTTAAACCTGATATACGTATATATAGGTAAGTATCAGTTTATTTATTTTATTTGAAAACTTATAATAATAAATATGTGTTATGCGTTATAGGGCTAAATTCTCAGAAATCACACAAGCATCTGTAAACAGAGCTCTTCAAACTTTGGACACGCCAAACAAAGCTGTCAGCGAAGCTGTAAATATAAGAAGTGAATTAGATTTAAGAATAGGTATTATAGGCATTTTATTTCTTTGATACTTATCGATAACCACTCAAATCTATTACTATCAAATACTATTGTAAAATTATTGTTTATTTTATTTGTTTTAGGTGCTGCATTTACAAGATTTCAAACGTTACGATTACAGAAAGTATTTCCTAGAACACTTACAGACATGCTTATAAGTTATGGTAGCTGCCAGTTTCCAACATTAGGATTTGTGGTAGAAAGATTTCTAGCTATAGAAAGATTTAAGCCAGAACCATATTGGAAAATAAAAGTAATGAATGTTCATAGTGATATTTCTGTTGAATTTCGTTGGGATAGAGTTAGACTTTTTGAAGAACTACCTTGCCAAATATTTCTTGATATATGTCAAGAAAATCCTACGGCTACTGTCACTAAAGTTACCAGTAAGCCAAAAAGCAAATGGAGACCATTACCGTTAGATACAATTGTAAATAACAATATCAGTATTACAACATTTATATTTGATATCAAAATTTCTTCATTTATATATCTTATAAATATATCTTAGGAATTAGAAAAACAAGGTTCTAGAAAATTGCGTTTAAATGCGAAAGAAACTATGAGGATAGCGGAAAAATTATATACGCAAGGTTTAATTAGCTATCCACGTACAGAAACAAACATTTTTCCAAAAGAATTAAACTTACAATCTTTAGTTTCTCAACATACAAATAGTCCTATATGGGGTCAGTTTGCACAGCGCTTAATGGAAGATGGGATATCTCCTAGGCAAGGGAAAAAAAGCGATCAAGCTCATCCTCCTATTCATCCAACGAAGTTTAGTACTTCTTTAGAAGGTATAATTAAAGAATTATTTTTAAAATTATATCAAGATTATTGTTTGTTACATCCTCAAATTTTATAATAGGAAACGAAGCTAAGGTCTATGAATTTATTGTAAGACACTTTCTGGCTTGTTTATCCAAAAATGCGGAAGGTCAAGAAACTGTAGTAGAAATTAATATTGCTGGAGAAAAATTTCTTGCCAATGGACTTCAGATATTAATGAAAAATTATTTAGAAATATACATTTATGAAAAATGGAGCGATAAAGAAATACATAGGTATCAAGAGGGACAAACATTTCAACCGACTAGTATTGATATGATAAAAGAAGAAACTTCACCTCCTAAATTACTAACCGAAGCAGATTTGATTGCTTTAATGGATAAACATGGAATTGGAACTGATGCAACTCATGCAGAACATATTGAAACAATAAAGTCAAGACAATATGTTGGTTTACAAGATGGTCAACATTTTATTCCTTCCAAATTAGGAATTGGACTTGTAATGGGTTATGACAATATAGGATTTCCAATGTCTAAACCAAATTTAAGAGCAGATTTAGAAAAGGATCTTAAATTGTACGTTATTAAAAAGTTACATTTTTTACTATTTCTAAATTCTATTTTAATATATATACATATTAAAAACTTATTTGTTTATCAATAGAATTTGTGATGGTCAAAAAGATCCTAAATTAGTTTTACAAGATCAAATAACTAAATATCGTGATGTATTTAAATTAGCAATGGAACATGCAAATTTAATTGATAATGCTATAGCAGAATATCTTGAAGAACAACCATTACAAGTACAAGAAACTGATATGATTAATACTACTCCAGATATAGTCGTTTTCAAATGTCCTAAGTGTAATTCTGACATGACATTAAAAAATAGAAAACAAGGTAATGGAAAATATATAAGTTGTATGGGATTTCCAGCATGTAATAATGCTATATGGTTTCCTCAATCGGTCGAGGATGTAACAGTTCTAGAAGATACATGTACCCAGGTTTGTGTACATTTTTCATAAATTATTCTTTAATCATTCCAGAAAGTCATAATTTATAATTAACAACAATTTGTTCTCTCTATAGTGTTCTGGAAATATGCGGAAAATGAAATTTAAATTGGCACAAAATATGATTCATTTTTTTGGAAGTACATATACAACTTGTATTGGTGGTTGTGATCCTAATTTTAATGAAACAATGGACATCAAAAATGACACTGTTAAAAAAAGAACACATGTTAATGATAGTGGCTATGAAACCGTGAGCAACACATCTGTGCCAGAAACATCGTCGAGTTGGGTTCAAATGCGTAATAATACAGGAGAATCTATTTCAAATTCAAGAACAAATACTCAGAGAAATAATATTCCTTTACAAAATCTAAATCATGGGAGAAATCCTCCTACGAATAATCGAAAAAAAGGCAATACTGGATCTACTAAAATGAAAAACAATACTAACAATTTGAATATGTCGATAGGATTTAATAATAATAGTACAAATACTAGTAATATTGTATCCTGGGGAAACATAGACAATGATGCTGAGATTATTTGTCAATGTAATCAACCTGCAATTCAGCTAACAGTTAAAAAGGATGGTCCAAATCAAGGTAAATTATATGCATGCAAATGAATTGGAACAATATCGAGTAGTATAACAAAATGAAATATTTGTAATATCTGTAGGAAGACAGTTTTATAAATGTGGAAATTCACAAGGTAATCGTTGTGATTTCTTTTTATGGGCTTCTGATAGACCACAAGAACAAAATACTAATACTAATCATAATAATCATAATAATCAAAATGCAAATTGGAGTGCACAAAATCGAACACAGCAGCCTAGTACTAGTAATAACTCTGCTAATTGGAGAAATACTAGTATTTCAGAATCAAATAATGTTATAATGTGTACTTGTAATGAACCAGCTAGACTGTAAGTAAAAGATTTTTTTTTTTAAAGATACATATTTAGTTAACAATCAATAATTTAGCTGTTATTATTTGAATATATATTTTACAGACTTATAGTACAAAAAGAAGGACCAAATAAAGGTAGACTATTTTATACCTGTCCTAAAGGTAGAGACAGTACATGTAACTTTTTTAAATGGGAGGATGCAGATGAAAGTGTTAATACAAATGAAAGAACAAATTGGGGAAATTTTGGAAACAGAAACAGTAAAAGTAATACTACGCACAGAGGGAATAGTTCAAATTCTAACAGATCTCAAGGAACTCGCGCCAAAAGAAAATGTGGCATTTGCGGAGTCGAAGGTTGGTTTATTTTTTTTTATTTTTTTTTATTAAACTATAATTCTATTTATATTATATAAAAATTGAAATTACAACATTAATATATTTTATTGTTTTTCTAAAATATAGGTCATACGCGGAAAACATGTCCAGAAAATGTCATGGATAAATAATCAAACAATATTGTGTAAATTATGTATAGTTTTTTTGTCTAAATATAATTTAAATTTATTTAAAGTAAAAATAATAATTTATAGCGTAATATACATACATATAATAACCATTTGTGCCTTGTGTTGTTGATAAAATTGATTGTTGAGATTACGAATCACTTAATCTCTCGTTTTTACATAAAATAAAGAATGGCACAAAATAAATTAATTCTATAATTGAAAATACTACGTAATATACGTCATTTTAATTATCTATTAGATGATATATTATTCCTTAATTTTTCCAATTCTTCTCTTAATGATAAATTTTGCGTTACAGATTCTGTAAGCTGCAATATTTTCAAAAATATGATTTATGTTTGAAAAAGTTTGTATATATATATATATATATATCATAAGGAAAATATAATTAATGTTAATCTAAATATTTACCAAATCTAGCATTATTTCAAACTGTAATTTTAACAAATAGTTTTCTCCTTCGAGTTTATGAACTTCCTTTTTCAATTTTTCATTTTCTTTAAATGTACCACTTACTTTTCCAGATTCTACAAAAGTAATAATTAATTTATAGACAATAATAATAATAATAATAAAATAATTTAATGTCTGTACCTGGTATCCATACACCATTTGCAAAAACTGCTTCTTGGTCTCCAAGTTGTAAACGAATAGGTCCAACGTCTGGACCTAATTCCTTTTCTATTCTATTAGGACTTAAATCTTTATTTATTAAAAATGTAGGTGCTTTTCTCGTTGGTGTTTTTTTCAAAGAAAATTTATTTGAAAATAAAGACATTTTTTTCCATCTACAACTATCTACAACTGCATAATAATAATAATATAACAAACAAACAAACAAACAAAAACTATACTTTAAGGTTAGGTTAGAAACGCTAACGCTAACGCCAGATAAAGTAAATCCTTCGACGACGGGCGAGCGTCGCTATGGACGACAGGTATTGAAACACGTAATAAAGAAAATGTTTACGTTGCACATTTGCGTTATAAAAACTAAAGCTTTATTCAAATAACTTTCAATAAAATTGAATAAAGCTTCAATAAGATACACCCATGTATCGTTTAGATTATGCCCCTCTTATCGTTTAAAACGACAAACATACGCAAGCTGCAGCGCAAGAATAGGGTGGCTATATGCCGCAAAGGGTTCAAATTCTAATAATATTTTTTATAACTTAACCCTTTGCACTTGACACGATTCTCGGTGTTGGTTATTACCAGTTACTCTGCGTCATTTCGTGGCAGAAACGGTGCATTTACAGGACCCTCGTATTATTTAGTATAACTTTGGAACCAAGTAATGGATTCTATTGATATTGGACTTATATTAATTAGTAGACATCGAGAAATATATTTTTGTAAAAAAAAAAACAAATCAATATTTTATTTTTGATAGTTTTGTACACTATGATAAAAAGTGTTTGAACGTTTTGCAATTGTTCTAATAAAGAAAAATGTATAAATTCATGGGTTGAAAATTTGTAATTGTTATTACTAATTCACAAAATGATATTTATCAATAGAACTCTTACCAAAAAAGTTTATTTACAAAGAGAAAAATTTTCTTTTTCGATTTTCTCACTCGTTAGATCTATCTATACGATATAACAGTAATTATAAAAAATACTTTCAAAAGAGAGTGCGACCAAGAAACGTTTGTTTCCTGGTCAATAATTTGTGATAAATAAGTTTAAATAATAAATAAATCCTATAATTCATAATTGTATACATAAAAAGTAATGAAAAAGTTATGCGTGAAAGGAATATATACATATATATGCAATGTAAAACGATACTCCTAATTTTGCATAGATATATTTAGAACGATACATAAATTTGAGCATAAAATAATAGCGATGAAATCTTTTCAAATTACTTGTAAAATTCATGCTCAGATTCATCTTTCTTAATATTATTTTTATAACCCTTCTCAAAGTCCTTTGCCAATACTATATAACGATTTTCTCGAACCGCGTGCATACCAGCTTCTTGGCAAATGGCATTTATATCAGCACCTGAAATTCTATCAGGTCGAGCCACATAATCTTCAAGATCAACTTCTTCGCTTAAATTCATTTTTGCTGTTATTGTTGAAAATATCAAACGTTTTTGTCGACGATCGGGTAAAGGAAATTCAATCTTACGATCTAATCTACCAGGTCGCAACAACGCTGGATCTAAAGTGTCAGCTCTGAACAGATAAATACAATATTAAATTAAATATAAATAAATTAATTTATAATTAAAACTATTCATAAGAAACACTTGTAGATTACATATTGCACATTAATTCATACCTATTAGTAGCCATTATAACTTTCACATTAGTAGTTTGATCAAAACCATCCATTTGATTAAGTAATTCCAAAAGAATACGCTGTACTTCACGATCAGCTCCAGTTTGTGCGTCAAATCTTTTCGTAGCAATAGCATCAATCTCATCAACAAAAATAATAGCAGGAGAATTTTCTTTAGCTAAACGGAAGACATCTCTGACCATTCTTGGTCCTTCTCCTAAATATTTCTGCACGAATTCAGAACCAACCACGCGTATAAAAGCAGCTATATGAAAGAATTTGTATTTATTGAAATAAATTAAAGAATTACATTTTTTTTTTTTTTTTTTTGTTATTAAAATACAATCAAATTAATACCTGTAGTATGTCTTGCAACAGCTTTAGCGAGCATAGTTTTTCCACATCCTGGTGGACCATACATCAACACACCTCTAGGTGGATCGATACCAATCTGTTTATACAGTTCAAAATGTGTCAGTGGTAATTCCACAGCTTCTCTAATTTCTTGCTTTTGCATATCCATTCCACCTATATCGCTGTATTGAATGTCTGGTTTCTCGTCTATATGAAACAAATTAATGAAATATTAATCAAATCTAATATTCACATGTTTACAAAAATCTCCAAATATAAACAAAAATAATCACCTGCTTGAAGCATCGAGATACTTGAATCAGCTTCTGGTGGAAGAACATCAACTAAAGCATTACTATGCTTATGAAGTGCAACACTCGCAGAAGGCTTCAATAGTTCTCTATCTATCGTAGACAAAATTCTAACATAATAATTAGAGCCTGTTGTAGATCCAACTATTCCAGTGTTTTGATCTACAGCTTCTAAAAATTGTCCTATGACCAATGGTACACTTTGTATACGTTTGACTTCTTCTTGAGCATGTAAATATTCTTTCTTCAAATTTCTTTGTTCATCTTTAATATATTCCTCTTGCACCTCCAAAAACTCTAACATCCTTTGCAATTTCTGTTTAAAATATATAATAACAATTATCGTACTAAAAAAATAATGAAATTTAATAAAAAAAATTTGATTTGTCTGTTTCTTGCCTTATACTTGGTATATAAATCTTCAACATCTAATTCATCTCCGGCTCCTGTATAATGACCAATTACTGGTTTGGAATCAATCTCAGTAACTTCCTAAAGTAAAAAAAAAAAAAAAACAGAAAAAATATTAAAAAATGTCAATCAAAAGTGAAGATTATTCTTAATTGAGGTTATAAGTAACTATATGAACAATATTATCGATAATTATCGAATTCACATTTGTATTTTTAAGAAATATAAAACAAAATAATCTTAATAAAATTGATTTACTTTATCAGGTAAAATAATTCCAATTTCTTCCATTGTCTTCAACTTATTTAATACAAATACAGTTCAATTTGACATACAAGATGATATCAAATGACTTGAATTTTCGGACAGCTCGAATCACGGAGAGTAGATACCCAGAGGGCGATCGACATAGGAAATTGTACAGTCAACGCGATTGGAAAAAAAAAAGGAAAGATCAGTTTCGTAAATACGCCGCTAGGCTTCGTTATGTTCGCTAATGTTGTGGGGAACAAGGCTGGCGGAAAAAGGCCGGAACTTAGTTAGACCTAAAGTTCCTAGAAAAAGAAAGAGTACAAAATTGCTTACACTAGATGTCGCTTTCATTTATCGATATAATAACATTTAGAGATATATCGATATCGAAAACATCCAAGCCAGAATTACTGACAGCTTTCCCGTTATACGTTCGTAACTTTGTAGAATGTTGGTAGGGGCTAATTAAGTTAATTGTTACATTTACGATATATATCAATTAATATATGCATATATACATATTTATGCAAACTGATTGAATTTGGTGAAAAAAATTGCATAAGTGATACTAAATTTGATGTAAAAAGATATCATTAGACAATTCCAATTGTGTCAATTCATACGCATGCGTAATATTGTGTGTATGTGTAACTTGTGATACACGATTAAGTAAAATAATAGAATTAACGCGTAAGATATAATTTTCTTTTAAACGTTTAAATATATTATATTAAATATTTATTCTAATTAATGTATTTAATTTTCTTTATATTATTTCAATATCCAAAACGAAGTGTATAACATTTTCGATCTGGGACGGAAGGTGTGCCCCTTTACGTATGCCATTTTGTTGTACTTTGATGTTTAAGGGAATTGTTGCTTCAGGCGCAAATAGGAACAAGTAAATATAATATTACTAAATAAAATTACTTTCATCGTTTATTTATAAGTAACAATATTTATAATAATAAATAATTAACATATAATTTATAAAGAAACACACACTGCCTATTTTCTATGATAAAAAAGAATAGATCTATATAATAAATTTTTACTTTGTTATTCATTTGTAGCACTAAAAAATAATGGAGGAAATTATAGGTACGTACATATTTGTATTTATCATTTGTAACTCACCTTCAAGTAAAATTATCAAATATGTTGTACTACATTTTGATGATGAATTTTTATTTCAGAAATTGTTAAAGTTGAGGAAGAAATAGTGTTGACCGATGATACTCCTCAAATCATAATTGGTAATTATTATATTCTAATTGTAACAATAATTTTCAATTTTGTTAAATTAATTATATTAACTACAGCTATTTATTGTAGACACAGATGAAACTGAGAAAGAAGTTGTAATAACTACAGAAGATGAATCTGGTAATGTGACAGGTATGTTTGAAAATATTACATATGTATGTATGTATGTAGATAGAGATATTATCATTAATTTCTTCAATAATTAATATTAAAAAGAATTGTTTAGTTATATATTATTAAAATGTTACTTTTATTGATCTTATATAATTGAATATCTTATTTATAAATATTTTAAAATATCCTCTTAAGTTTATTCTCTTTTAGTCTTTTACTTTCCATTTTGTTATGTTATAATATTTCTGTTTTACTCGCAGCTATTTCCCAAAGTAGCCAGATTATACAAATTATAACAGATTATGAATGTGTAACATGTCATCGCGTTTTCCAATCAGAAGATGTAAGTTATCATTTTATTTTTATTTATATTTTATACAAATACAGAGTATCCTGTAAACGGTGATGCAAACGAACAGGTTAATTCTACATGAAAAACTAAATAAATAATGTAGAATAACATTTTTTTCATATAAGAGTTTGTTTTTTTTTTTCTAAGAAAAATAAGTTTGAAAATTTGTTGAGTACGCATATACTTAATTCAGTTTTAGATCAACCGATTTCAGTATTTTACCTGTATTCAAGTAACCTGTATCAGAGAGCATTTCTATGCATCTTTATATATTTACAAATATTTTCATATATGCATATCTTGTTGAAAGAATATTTGAATATAATTTTTCTAACTATAATACTAATTTATTAATACTACTGTACAGATGCTAAAGGAACATTTAGATGTCTGCAGAGAAGAAGATGATTCTACAAGTATATTAAGAAATCAAGATAATTATGATTCTGAGGATGAAGATGATGCTGATGCTGATGCTGATGCTGATGATCCAGATTATAAATTCAATGATACAAATATTGAAGAAGGTATATTTCAATTATTGTTATAATAATTATTTATATAATATATTTATTTTATGATAGTAATGGAGTTATTATGTCAAGTATAATAATAATTCTAATACATAATTAATATATAAATGTAATTTTAGATACTAAAGCTCAAAAGAATAATAATGAAAAACCAACGATCAAACCTGTGCCAGATACACAATGCCACTGTTGTGCTGAAGACTTAAAAACTGCCCATAGCGGTGGTGAATTTAAATGTACAGAATGTGAATTATCATTTAAAAAAAAATCATCTTTAGATAGACACATAATAGTAATACATTGGAAATGTGAATCTTATGTCTGTAATGACTGTGAGTCAACTTTTCGTGATAAAAAATCATTAAATAAACATCGTTATACTACGCATGTCAATCGCAACATATACAAGTAAGTATACATCAAATTGATAACGATAACAGAATAATATTATATTTTTCTTTATGTAATTTTTAGATGTGATACTTGTGACACATATTTTTCACGTAATTACCACTTGAAACGTCATAAAATGCAATCTGGTTGTCATGGAGAAATACGTAAAACTTTTGATTGTCAAGTAAAGTATACTCGTATAATTATTTAATATGATTAAGTATATAATACAGTAACAATTTATAATCATTGGTATAATAATAATAATAATAAAATTTGGTTCTTCGTTTGTAGGTTTGTCAAAAAGTTTTCACACGAAAGGATAATCTACGCGAACATTTGCGCACACATGCTGGAGCACCTCAAAGACAGAAAAAACCATGTAAATATTGTTCTAAGGAATTCTTTACTACTCAACAATTGATAATACACGAACGATTACATACTGGAGAAAGACCAGTACAATGTGATTTGTGTACGAAGACATTTTTATCTTCTCTTGCATTAAAAAAACATCGTCGTGTACATACAGGAGAGAAACCATTTGAATGCAAATATGTAAGTACTTTTTTTTGTTTTTTTTTTTTCTTTTTTTTCTTTTTAAATAAGCAATCTTTGTTCATAAAAATATTATTTTATGGTTAACTAACGTGAATAATTTAACGTGAATAATTTAACGTGAATAATTTAACGTGAATAATTTGATATACCTAAAAATATATCAAATTATTCATTTTTAATACACATTCTTGTATTATATGAATTACCGCTCATTTACTACTTTTCTCATTATTTCAACAAGCAGACAATACAAGCTGGATAAATTGAGGTAATCTTTCTTAAAGTAATTCATTACTAATTCTTAACAGGTGATCTTCAAACTATTTAGTTCGTACATCTATACATTTGAAAATGTAATTGATTTATATATTTGTAAAATGTATTTTTTACATTTTCTGTAGTGTCACAGAAAATTTGCTGCCCGTGAGACATTAAATCGTCATCAAAGAACGCATACTGGAGAGAAACCTCATGTTTGTCAATATTGTGGAAAATCATTTATTCAAGCAGCACAATTAAGAGCACACGTATTTCATCATACCGGTGAAAATGGATTTTATTGTGATATTTGTGGTAAAGCATTTAATAGAAAAGCTCGCTTGAATGTACATAAAAAATTTGTACACGAAGGTGCAACACCATTTACATGTGAGATATGTGAGAAAGGCTTCACCCGAAGAGAAGACTTATCAAAGCATACATTGTTGCATACAGGAATTAAACGTAAGAATTACAATTTCTATTTACATTAATAATTTATCTCTCAATATTTTTTTATATATCAATCATCGGGGATTATTTTAATGACATTTATAAATAATATACTATATCAATTATAACAATTTTGTAGCATTTAAATGTGATAAGTGCTCGAAGGCCTTTTCTGCTAAATCTTCATTACAAGCACATCTCAATACTCATAGACGAGAGCCACCTCAATCGTGCGTTGAATGTAATCGTGTTTTTATAAGACAAGACTGTTTGATGAGACACGTTCGAGCTAAACATAGAGAACTTCTGGAAGATGTAATGGACGAAGTGGAAAGAAAACATTTACAAGCACAATTATTCAATATTGCTTCCATTGCTGCAGAAAAAACTAAATCAGGAGAATCTAAAGTACTTTCTACGGATGAATTATTAAAAGCCATTTCAGATCTATTAAGGATACTTATTGATGAAGAAACCTTACAGGTATTATCAAATAATTGTAATAAATTGTAATGAAGTATAAACTTAAATGTAATATTATTTCATAATTTTACAGTTATTTGGTTGGCCTATTGCTCCTATTCAAGATATTTTAGAGGCTGTAATTAGACGTTGTGGTCATGAACCTCTAACATCAGATAGTAATTTACTTTTCAATGAAAGGTTAAGAGCTAACGTTAAGCTCTTATTTACAGTCGTTATAGAGGATGAAACAGCCAAGTCATTATTAACTACCAAAACGGTAGACCATGTTATTCTTCATGTTTTGGAAATTTCACAAAAATAAAATTGTAATATATATATATATATATATATATATATTATCATGATAATATGTGGTGACCTAATTATACAAAAAAAAATATAAAGATATATCTTAAGAAAAGTTATCTGACCAATTTACAAATGTTAACTGCAGTTTGGATAAAGAAACAATAGTATTATACATTTAACTTTGTTAGTGTAACTGCTAACTTATCATTGCTATTGTAATTTAATTAAGCCTCAAGTACTTTTACGAATATATTTTTTATTAAGTGAGTAACGTAAATACTCGATATTAAAAATGCATATTATTTCAATTATTATTTAATGGGTGAAAGGAGTGATATAATAATTATTATTAAACTTTCTGTAATCATGTTATAAAATATATTTCATACAAGTATATTATTTGCCTGACTATATTTAAAATGCCTACAATAGTGTAAAATAAACGATAATTAAAATATTGTTTTCTCTAAAACTTATACAGTGATATCTCGATTTGCGAATATAACTTGTTTCTAAAATGTGCTTATAATAGTAAATTTTGCTATAAGAAATAATGGAAAATTGGCTAATTCTATTCATAACAATATATATTCATAGAAAAATAATATAAAATACAAAATACTAACTAACATAAGTAAAAAAAATTAAACGAGTTAATCCTACTTTCACATTGTATCAGAAAATCTTCGCTGTTTCCAACGACTGATCGCCAGATGGCGTTTTGGTTCATGTTAAAGCGCTACAGAATGTTTTATTGAAATATTTTTAAAATTTTATTTCTAAATCTAGATATTTTGTTATTTTACTATTTAATCACGTATTAAGCGTGGTTTGAACAATCGCATAGAAAAAAATACAATAAATTAAACAGATCGAAGAAAAAAGATGTGCTATGAGTTCTTTAGTAACATTGTGTACAACTCTCCTTACTACGTATTCTCCATTATGCGATCCATGCTGAATTATACTAATTGAAGATCAATTTCTTTTTATTACACTCAAGCTAAAATCCTTAGAACGTTGTCGATAATTGTAAGTTGATTATTATATACAGTGATGATGTTTATGTGCCGTTCATTTGACTTATATAAGATTAAAGTGTGAATGTATATTAACGTTTATTTATTGAAGATAGTCAAGACTAGTTATTAAAAATGGAAACTGACGACGAAGTTCTAAATATTTGCGTACCAGGTAAATAAATATTTATATAATTTATAAAAATACTTAATTTTTCATTATTATTTAATATAAAATGATGTATAATTGTTCTAGGACAAAGATTGTGTGCTTCTAGTAAAACTATTGTATCAGGACCGGGAACATATGAAGAACAAGGTTATATTTATTCTACATTAGCTGGTATTTTGGAAACTACTACAGAGGATAATGTATGTATGAAAATGAATTGATATTTTTTCAAGTGTTTTATTTTATTGTATAAACATCCAAATTTGTTGTTATGTTTTTAAGATAATTACTGTAAAGGTGAATGCTGTTATTGATCAAAGTATAGTACCAGCACCAGGTGATATTGTTACTGCAATGGTAACCGCTGTTAATCAAAGATTTTGCAAATGCAATATTAAATGTATAGGTGATGTAGTTTTAACTAGACGATACAAAGGAATTTTAAGAAAAGAAGATGTACGTGCTATTGAGAGAGATAGAGTGGAAATGTATAAATCTTACAGACCTGGAGATATTATTCTTGCAAGAGTTGTATCCTTTGAACAAAAATGTTTACATGTTTCAGAAGTATGTTACAGAAGTAAATCTAATGTTTTTCTTAGAAATTAATTAGTTACCTATGACAGAAGCCCATACTTATCATCTAAGTACAGCAGAGAATGAATTAGGAGTAGTAATAGCTCATAGCGAAGAAGGTAATTTTTATTATTTTATTTCCATCAAAAAATATTTATTTTAATATTTGAAATTAATTTTCTGATATGTACTTCTAGGTGGTGCTGCAATGATACCGATAAGTTGGACTCAAATGCAATGTCCAAAGACATTATGTAAAGAATTTAGAAAAGTTGCTAAAGTTGTTCCTGAACATGTTATTGCTGAACGATAAAATAAAATTTATGAATATTTAAGTGTTTCAGACATTTTTTTTTTATATATTCCATTCATAATAAATTAATATTAAATATAAATACATAATTATATTAAATAATAAATAAAATTGGTTATATAAAATATATATATATTTTTTGAAATATTAAATAGATACAAAAATTTTAATAACTTTTGGGTAACATTTATAAATGCAAATTTTTCAAATCAATCAAATTTCATTTGAAGAAATTGATAGAATAACTATCTTTTTATTTATTTCAAAAACTATGTTGACAAAATACATATGAAACACACATTTGTTATATGATACTTGGGTATGTACGAACTTTTGCCACTAGAGCGCGTTAGTGTGGCTAATGTTTAGTTTTTAAAACCTTGTTTATTGTCGCGGGAATGTAACAATTGTACTCGCGCGTTAGTCAAAATAAATTAACCAAATGTTATAATTAATGTTAAAAATAGCAATAAGAACAAATTTATTATTTTACTATTATTCCCAAGATATTATCGTCAACTTGTTGTGTAAATCTATTCAATTTCATCTTACCTCCTAGTCGCAGTTAAGTAAAAGATGGAAAACTAAATTAAAAAAGTCCAATTAAAAGTAAATTGTCATTTATTATAAAAGTAAATTGTGCACTTTTTACAAGACTAGAAATTTCTCTAGCATAAGTAGAGTTAAAAAACAATAAATAATAGAATTTAATAAGAATAATAAGTTCATTATAAAATAATTTATAACAGTTTAAAGTGTTTACGAAGTTTTTTTGTCAACTTTCGATCGTTTAAGGTACGATTAATTAAATTTATTAAGAAATTTCCACGCATACGATCAAAATTATTTACAATTTTAGTCATAAGTTCTTCGACATGTTTATCACAGCTTAACATTGGTAAACATTTTGCCTTTGATTATAATTTTTTGAGATATATGATTAGCTGGCGTTAGGGGTGCTGTCAGACGTTACGTAAACTCCTCCTATATATATTAAAAATAGTAATAATTTATTATTTATTTAATATTAAATATAGACATATATATAACTTTTATTTAGATGGCATAAACGACAAGTAGACGTCGAATACATACATTATATACAGCTAGCAAAACTCTTGAACATCTTGTGAACATAACTTGATAGTATCAGTAGTTAATTTGTGTTTACATCATATAGTTATTTCCAATTAGAAATGTCAGTTTATAAACCAACTATTCGTCATTTGCAAGTGTTAATTTATCATTTTATTAATAAAAAAAATCCTCGACTTGGCTTCCCAAATGCTCTTACACGCTTATAGCGAGGATAATATAACCTTAAAAACATGTTGTAAGTGGTATAATTGCTTCAGCAGTGGTGATTTCAACTTTAAAAAGACCTTTCTTAAGAAGACTATGTAGAGAATGGAAGGATGAAGAATTAGTACGTTTGATCTATGAAAACCTGGATATACCTTAAAGGGAGTTGGCAAAACAGTTAAGAGTTTGTCAACGTACAATTTCAAATCTTGTAAACAGTCTGCAAATACAAAACAAATTGAAAGATATAAGGCGAAATCAAAATTATTATATATATCCTTAACATTAGAACTATCGACCGGTTGTATCATTTGTTTACAAAATTTTGTCTTGAAATTTTATTAAATATTTTATAGTTATGTAATGACTTTTTCTAAATTCATGTATTTAATAATATATATGTTATAGCTATATATACCGACCGGTCGTCACTTTTAATGTTTTTAATTTGAAAATTTCTTAGAAACTACGTCAATCCGCTACTACAACTGCCACAAAATATATTTTCTTTAATTTAAATATGATAACATAAACATAATAATAATTTGAAGGTGCGAAAAGAAAGACGGTTATACCGTGATAATTACATAAAGTAAACAAAATAAATAGAAGGTTTTGAAAAGAGAAACGGTTATACCATGATAATTACATAAAGTAAACAGAATAAATAAAAGGTTTTGAAAAGAGAGACGGTTATACGGTGATAAAAGAAAAGAGAGAGCAAATATTAGTCTACAATTTTTATCTAGTTTTGTAACTTTATCCTAAAAATGCCGAGATGTACGAAAATACCTTGTGAGGTGTTATAGAAAAATGAGAAGAAAAAAAAAATAAAAAGATGACGATAAATGTAATATAATACAATATAATATAATAACAAGAATATATATTAAAGTAAATAATATTAATACGCACAGAGAAAAATAACATATAATAACTGATAGAAATGTACAAAGAATTACAGACTTAGATTTACTTACATACACGGAGATTAATGACTTATTAGACAGAGAAGCAGAGAAGCAGAGAACCGAGAGCCTAACTTATCTACACGTATTTATACAAGAAGTAACCTACGCCCTTTTGGAGAAGGGCAGGGAACTTATTAATCTTATTGGTCTTCAGCATCCACCGGAGGTGGGTGAAGGTGGGGCCAAATCGAAAAAAGCTCGGTCTCTAACAGTTTTTCAACTGTTACCGTCAACGGTCCTCTCCATGGTAACCATCAACGGTTTTTAATTAAATATCAGTAATCAGACCTTTCGGATATCGACCAAGATGATTTTGATCCTGAGATTGGACCAGCAGTTATTTCAGAGAATCAATCAGTTAAAGTGTGTGTTTCCTCAGACAGCAATAGTGAAGAAGAGAACATCCTGAATGTACGTAGACCAAGAAGACTTCTGAGATTGTTTTTCATCTTTGCATGAGAATGACCGTCAAAAAACTGAAATTACTGCTGATGGAACTATATTTGGATACTATTATATTTTATTTTAAATGTTCATTTGCCACATAAAATTGATTTTTCTACTTTTATTTCCTTATATACATGCATATAATATAAAAATATTTAGAATTATTTTTCATATAATATTTATGTATACGTTTTTTTTTAAAAATGCGCAAACTTTGAAAAGATCTCAAAAATATATATTATATTTGTATTGTATACTGTTTTACGATATTTACTTAACAATAGTGTAAATGTAACAATGAAAATATAAAAACTATAATATTAAACTCAATTATTATTATTAAGATATATTAGGATATAAATAATTATGATCCACATGCCATACAAGCATCACCATTTTCAAGAGAACACATAAATGCATCCATAGTATTAGTGTTATTCTCGTTAAAACTATTTTTTTCTGATTCTGTTGAAGATTTATTCAAATATTGACTTTTGATAGTTGAATTAAGTGAATTATTAGCTTCAGATGTTTTCTTTGTCTTTTTTAATTTACTTTTATCAACGGTAAATTGTAGTGCATTTGCAGCTGGCTTTGTACGTAAATAATACATACCCGTTTTTAATCCCTACAAATAAAATCAAAGTGATCATGATTGAAATACATTTATATAGATTAAGTAGAATCCTCCTAACTATATATATATATATATAAAATATCTTTTTGAAACTTACATTTTGCCAACCATAAAAGTGCATGGATGTAAGTTTTTCTACTGTTGGTTTAGCCATGTAAATATTTATAGATTGCGACTGGTCAATAAATGCTCCACGATCAGCTGCCATTTTAAGAATTGTTTTTTGTGATATTTCCCAAACAGTTTTGTAAAGTAATTTTAATTCATCTGGTATACTATCAATGTTCTATAATAACATAATAAAATATATAATAAAAAGAAATAAACAATTGTTTCAACTTAAAATTTACATAATGTAATTATATAATAAAGAAATGTAATAAGCTATAAAATATCTGACCTGAATAGAACCATTATTTGCAATAATCTCATTTTTCATATCTTCATTCCATAGATTTCTTTCAATAAGATCTTTCAATAAATGAGGATTGACAATTTGATATTCCCCAGATAAAACACGTCTTGAATAAATATTATTTGTGTATGGCTCTATTGATTCATTATTACCAAGAATTTGTGCAGTAGATGCGGTTGGCATAGGTGCCAATAATAAAGAATTTCTTATGCCATGTTTTGCAATTTTTTCTTTCAACACTTTCCAATCCCACAAATTCGTTGGTGTAACACCCCACATATCATATTGCAGTATCTAAATATATTCATACATTTAACATTTGTTGACAAAATAATAAATAATAATTACTTCTTGATAAATGCTTACTCCTTTGCTAACAGGACTTCCTTCATATGTTTCATAACGGCCTTTCTCTTGAGCAAGTTCACAGCTTGCTTCTAAGGCACCATAATATAATGTTTCAAAAATTTGAATATTAAGATTTTTAGCCTCTTCACTTTCAAATGGAAAACGCATTAACAGAAAAGCATCTGCTAATCCTTGTACACCAATACCTAATATATTAAATAATATTATGCACAACATTAGAAGACAAATGTTAATCGTATAAAATAATAATTGAAGGAATATCTTACCAATAGGTCTATGTTTTAAATTAGAGTTTTTAGCTTCTAAGAGTGGATAATCATTAACATCAATTATTTTATCCAAGTTACGAACTATAATTTTAGTTATGTGTTTTAATTTTTCAAAATTATATGTTTTTGTATTTTTATCAATAAACATATTAACAGCGACTGATGCCAAATTACACACAGCAATTTCATCAGAGCTTGTGTATTGAATTATTTCTGTGCATAAATTGCTACTTCTAATCGTTCCTAAATTTTGTTGATTTGACTTTCTATTACAATGATCTTTGTAAAGCATATAAGGTGTTCCAGTTTCAACTTGTGACTTAAGTATAGCAGTCCATAAATCTCTTGCATTAATTTGACGTTTGTAGCATTTTTCTTCTTCATACCTTTCATAATATTGTTTATTTTCATTTTCATAAATATATTTTTAATTTATCTAAATTATTCATTAATTCAATTTAGTTACCTAATGTATAGGTCTTCGAATTCCTTTCCCCAAACATCTTCTAAACCTGGGGATTCATGTGGACACATTAAACTCCAAACACCATCATCCAAAACACGTTTCATAAACAAATCTGGGATCCACAAAGCATAAAATAATTCTCTTGCCCTAATCTCAGAATTTCCTATTTAGTTGAACAAATACAAAGAGTTAGTTTAAAAGTATTTATATTTGTTGTTATGCCATACTGTAATATTTTATAATTATATTCAACCATTACCAGTATTTTTCTTAAGATCTAGGAATTCAAATATATCTGCATGCCATGGTTCAATATATATAGCAAATGCTCCTGGTCTTTTATTTCCACCTTGATCAACATAGCGGGACATGTCATTAAATACTCTAAGCATAGGAATTAATCCTCTTGCTTCGCCACGGTTACCACTTATAGGTGTACCTTTTGCTCTAACGCAATGTATACTTAGACCAACACCACCGGCCCATTTACTAATTAAGGCACACCTTTTTAATGTTTCATAAATTCCTTCAATACTGTCATCAATTATTGTCAGAAGAAAACAACTGCATAATTGTTGTTTTGGAGAACATGCAGCAAACAAAGTTGGAGAAGCATGTGTAAAATAACGTTCCGATAAATAATTATATGTTTCAATAGCTTTCTCAATATCATCTTCGTGAATTGCAACAGCAACTCTCATTAACATATGTTGTGGTCTCTCAACAACTTTGCCATTAATTTTCATTAAGTAACTTCTTTCTAAGGTTTTAAATCCGAAATAATTATAATTAAAATCTCTTTCATAAATAATTGCAGAATTTAGTTTGCTTGCATGTTTTTTTATGATATTATAAGCTTTCTCGCTGATAATAGGTTTGGAAACTTTGGAATATTGATCTACTGCAAATCGCAAGTCTTCAATTACATCTGAAATCAAAAATCATATGACATAAATCATATCAAAACATAGTATGTATATATAGAAAGTGCAATAATTACTTTAACATAAACATAAAATATGACATAAATGGAAATAAAAACTATAATAATACCACTGAAAACCTTCTTTGTTTCTTTATGAAGATTAGATACAGCAATTCTAGCAGCTAAAATAGCATAATCAGGATGTTGTGTGGTCATAGTTGCACAAATTTCAGCTGCTAAGTTGTCTAGTTCAACAGTAGTAACACCAGTGTATAAACCACGGATTACACGAAATGTTATTGCAGACTATAAAACATAGATAATTAAAGATTTTTTTAATATACTTTGTAGTATGTATATATAATATTTATAAATTTACTTACTGGATCAACGTATTTCATATTTAAACCATAACATAATTTTTGTATTCTGTATGTTATTTTATCAAAACAAACGTCTTCGTGTCTCCCATCTAATAATAATAAAGGATTCATTAGCAAAATAGACAAATAAAAGTTTCAATCAAATGAACTTAAACTTTAGTTAAATATACTTACCCCGTTTAACTACATACATCTTCGTCATTTTGATAACTAGATTACTATATAAGTACGCTTAACTTAATTAATTGTATTATATATAACACTTTTCACACACAATATTATGCATATATCCTTTTTAGTTTTAAAGAGTTCTGATCTGAAACGGAAATGTAATTTTTCAGCGGAACTGTAAAAAAAAATAATGAGCAATTGTTTATTAGATTTATTTAAAATTGACAAATCTTTTAACAATTTTATACTCAAGCATGAAAGATTACGTTTAATATTTATTATATATTAATTAGAAATAATAAAATCCTTTATCTTTTCGATACACTCAAATTGAGATATGCAAAAATGTTTCATTACCTTCTTCAATTAAGAAAAAGCGGGAACGAGTTGTTAACCATATGTGATGCACCTAGTAACCGTGGTCGTTATTCAAACTAATCTCATATGATACGCTTAGTGACCGTTGGTTGTTATAAAAACCTAACCTCAACGTATGCTTAGCAGTCGATACATTAATTAAAGTGTTATTTACATGTTTACTATTTCATTAAATACTGGTGGTTTATTCATTTACAGTATATATATTGAATATTAAGACATTAATTAATAATTTAATTATAAATATTTATGAAAATATATTTTTAATTTATTTAATATATTTTTAAAAATATTATACTATATTGTTCATATAAGTATGTATAAATTCAATAATTATTATGCTAAATATATCGCAAATATTTTAAATAAATTTGGATAGTGTGACGTGTATATTTATTTGCATCATAGATATTACGTGCGCTGACATAATTGACGTATACACGTCACGCATTGTAAATTTAGCCGCATTATTTGTGTTATACCGTATGTTTAAATTTGCTTGAAACGTGGACTGTAAAGAAAGGAAAACTATTATTTAATAATGACTATAGAAAAGGATGAATGTATTGAATTATTTCAACAAATTGGTTTAAGTGAACAAAAAGCAAAGGAAACGTTGAAAAATGCACAAGTTTCGAAAAATCTTAAACTTGCTATCACAGAGGTTAGTTGTATGATAAAAATGTTGTATTTCAATGTTTATTTTATAAATGAAAAAAGTTTGTTTACTTTTTGAATATATAATGAATTATTATATCTTACAAAAATGTTTATAATTATTATGTTAAAAAATTTGAATATATATTTTGTTATTTTACAGGCAAGAAAATATGTTGACATTACACCAGAGATAGGTACACTCTTGTATCATCTATCTTCAAAAATAAAAGCTCAGATCGCTGACAAAATACCATTTTTATCCAAGTTTATAGCTGAAAGAAAATTGGATACTGTTCAAAGATTAGATGCTGCATTGAATTATATTCTTAGTAACTTGAACGAAGAAATCTCTATTTCAGCCTTTGAAGAAGCTTGTGGAATAGGAATTGTTGTTTTACCAGAACAAATTGAAGAGGAAGTTGAGAAGCTTATTAAAATTCATAAGGATGAAATTTTAGAAAAAAGGTTAATGAGTTATTATTTTGAGCAATATAATTATTGAATAACTATGTAATTATTTTGATATTATTAACATGATTAATTATATATAGATATCGATTTAATCCTGGTCCATTAATGCAACAAGTACGTAATACATTAAAATGGGCTGATGGGAAAGCAATAAAAAATGAATTTGATATTCAAATTTTAAATTTATTAGGACCGAAGCAGAATAGTGATCTTGAATCAGTACCAAAACAAACACAATCAAATAAAGTTAAAAAAGCAGTAAAAGAAGGTACATTCAGAATTATTATTATTTAAATTTTTATTCAAATTGATAATAATAAAAAAATCATATCTTTGTTTTTTTTTAGAACAAAAAAATGCTTTGTCGACGAATGAAAATTCATCAGCTTTAACAATAACAGAACTAATGAAAACAAAAGTTCATTTTCATAAACCTGGAGAAAATTATAAAACTGAGGGATATGTCGTAACACCTAATACTAATAAGTTATTGCAAGAACATTTGAAAATAACCGGTGGTAAAGTAAGAACTAGATTTCCACCAGAACCAAATGGAATTCTACATATTGGTCATGCAAAAGCTATTAACATTAATTTTGGGTATGTGTATATATTTTTGTTGTATATACTCTTATGTATTATTCTACATGGACAAATTATGATACAATACAAAATTTATCCTAGCTATGCTGCTGTAAATGACGGACTGTGCTATTTACGTTATGATGATACAAATCCTGAGAAAGAAGAAGAAAAATTTTTTACTGGAATTCGTGAAATGGTAGAATGGCTTGGTTATAAGCCAGCAAAAATTACACATTCATCTGATTATTTTATGCAATTATATCATTTGGCTGTAGAGCTTATAAAAAAAGGATTTGCATATGTTTGTCATCAATCAAATAAAGACATAAGAGGTTTTAATCCACCACCAAGTCCATGGCGCGATCGTCCAATCGAAGAAAATCTCCAATTATTTGAAGTAAGAAAAATAATGAACAATTATTTGTCAAATATTTACTGCTCTGTTTTTCTTACTTATAACAATACATTTCTTTTTTACAGGATATGAAAGATGGATTATTTGATGAAGGTGAGGCAACATTACGTATGAAAGTTACTTTGGAAGAAGGCAAACAAGATCCTGTAGCATATAGAATTAAATATGTACCACATCATAGAACTGGAGATCAATGGTGTATTTATCCTACTTATGACTTTACACATTGTTTGTGTGATAGCATTGAAAATATAACGCACTCTCTTTGTACTAAAGAGTTTCAATCGCGTAGATCATCTTATTATTGGCTTTGTAATACATTAGACATATATTGTCCTGTTCAATGGGAATATGGCAGATTAAATGTAAACTATACTGTAGTTTCTAAAAGAAAAATTGCTAAACTAATTGAAGAAGGAATTGTTTGCGATTGGGATGATCCAAGGTTTATAAAATTAATTCAATTTAATAGCTTTATATTATATTATATTACTTTGAGAAACTTGTAAAAATAAATGTTTGTTTTTCAGATTGTTCACATTAACAGCATTACGTAGACGTGGATTTCCAGCTGAAGCTATAAATAATTTTTGTGCCCAAATGGGTATAACTGGAGCACAAGCAGTTGTTGATCCAGCTATTTTGGAAGCTGCAGTTAGAGATGTGTTGAATATTACTGCTGCAAGACACATGGTTGTATTAGATCCTATTAAAGTAACTATTAGCAATTTTAATCATAAAGAAGCATTAAAAGTTTCGGTACTAAATTTTCCTAATGCACCTGAGAAAGGGCAGCACGAAATAACTTTCGATAAAATTCTGTACATTGAAGCATCTGATTTTAGAGAGGTTTGTAATGAATACACACACACATATATATATAAGTATAGTGTATTTCTAAGTGAACTATAAGTATATATTAATTTAATATTTTATTTATAGGTAGATGAAAAAGGTTTTCGACGTTTAACACCGAAACAATCAGTTGGTTTAAAGTATGCAGGTGTAGTTCTTACTATTGAATCTGTAGAGAAAAATGATAATGGAAATATTACAAATCTTATTGTCAAACAAGAGCCTGTTTCTGAATCAAATAAGCCTAAAGCATTTATACATTGGGTATCACAACCTACATTAGCATCAATAAGATTATACGAACCCCTGTATGTATAAATAACAAATATTATATAGCTTTATCTATCGTATATATTTCTAATATAATATTTTTTAATAATTATATATAGTTTTAAACATAAAAACCCAGAAGATCCAAATGAAGTACCAAATGGTTTTTTGAGTGACATCAATCTAAATAGTAAAAAGGAAATCGTTGGTTACTTAGATGCTAATTTAGCAAATGCGGTAAAACCTTTTGATAAATTTCAGTTTGAACGTATTGGATTCTTTTCTGTTGATCCCGATACAAAATATGGCAAGGTAATTTCAAACATTTTTCTAATTATTATACATTTGAAAAGATTCATTTTTATTATCATTATTTTTGTTAATCAAATAATTTATCTATTTAATTATATTTTTAGATCGTTTTTAATAGAACAGTTACATTAAAAGAAGACTCTGGCAAAATTTAAATAAAATACAAATATAATATCAATATTATGTTTGGTTTGTATCTTTATACAATTTTAAATAAAAGTCATATGAAATAGTTGAGTTCATTGTTACTGGTTATATTATTTTGTTTGATCAGTAACATTTGATAAAATACAATTATTTGATATATTAGTTCATAACACATGACTCATAAGTTGGAACCATGTATTTAATGTTTATAAATGCATCTTCTCCACCATACATTTCTAAAACTTCAAGTGTTTCTTGTATTATATCTGCTGTATTTTCACCCTTTTGTTGAGAATAATCAATTCCTTCACCAAGGTTGACTACAAAAGATATTTGAATTATTTGGATATAAAAGAAGTATGAAATGTAATACGAATGATAATTTTTTTTTTACCATTTCTATTTTTAAGTAAGTTTAAAATTGGAAGAATTTGTCTAAAATATGGGACTAATGCTTCGCCAATATCATCAGCAGAACGTACTAAATGCTGAAGTACTCTCATTGTAGAGCACATTATTTTTGGTATTTTTGTATTTAAAGCATCTGTTGTAAAAATATTTGGAGATAAATGTTATTGGAGCTGATAATTTATATGATGTAAATTTAATTGTGTTACTTGAAGATAAGATTATACTTTTGATAGGAATAATCAATTTTGGAACAACAGGTAATATTTTTGATCCTCCATGATCTAACAAATCGGAGATACATTGTTCTACTATATGTTTATAAGGTTGCTCTTCTTCTACCAAACCATCAAAGAACAGAGGTAAATAATAATGAAAATCTAAACTTGATATATCTTCTTTCCAATTAACTTTTAATCCAGAAGCATCGTTTTCTATTGAAATAGGAAATACACCACGTTCATAATATTTTCGAAATTGAGATGGTTTTGGACGACACCATTTATATATTTCAACTCGTGGTGGATCAGCAACTACTGTGTTATCCTGAAAAAATACATGTCAAAAATATAAAACATATATAATTTGATAAGTTTATTATAACGGATAGTTTACCTGCATTGCTTGTATGGTAAAGGCAGGAACCACTCTAAATTTTCTTTTTTTATATCGTGGTATATTTTCACAAATTTTTTTCCAAAATTCCTTTTCATTTACCATTTTAAAATCCAAAATTTATTTCATTCATATGTTTTTAACTATTATTACAAATATTCCAATATGCTTGATAGTTCAAAAAAAAAAAAAAACCATGTATTTTATTTTTTCTAATGCATACACAAAATTTATTTAATATGTGTGAATATAACTGAAACACGATGTGTTGTTACCATTCATTAATGATAATGAAAGAAGTTACTTAGCAACAGTATTTACTGATATTATTGAATAAACAGTTTAGTCTCTCTACCTCATCATCATCAGTGACGTAAATAATATAAATGATGCTAATGAACATTTGACTTATTTTAACAGCAGACAACTTAGTTTGTTGCGAATCTTTCATGAGAAAATATTGTGATACAACAACAATAAATGATGATAATAACAAAAGGATAAATTATTAAAACATTAAATTTTTACAATAATAAAATGATGACATAATGTGAGATATTACAATATAATACAACACTGCAATAATACATAATATTAATTAATTAAAGTTTTCACGAAATGTCCTTTGAAAAATTAAAAACAATATTATGTATTTACTTTAATTGAATTACATAAGTATAATATAATATAACAGTATGATATATTATTATCAAATATACAAGAAAGTAAAATTTATTAGAAACGATTTCATAAATTACAATGATATATATTATGAAATATATTAATTAGTCCATATAAAGTAATAACAATATTATATGACAGTTTTTTTTACAATATAGCTTGCGACCCACGCCATGACGTGATAGTATGATGGCCTGTCGAATAATTATCCCCACCCTGAGAAAAGTTATTGCAATCGTATCATTCTTCTCATATAACATAGTTGCATTATTCATGATACAAGTAATATAACTTACCTGTGTGAGCATTAATAATTCATCTTGTGTATCAACAATTTTAACTGGGAATGGTGAACCAGGTACAAGTACACCAGCCCAGCGTACCTCTACTCTATAATCACCAGGCTCAGTTGGATCATAACGACAAAGAATTATCCTGTCCTTTTGAGTTTCTCTTTGCATTTCAACCCTAAATGCACCTTTAGGTCCTCTTACTCTTACCGTTAATTGACCAGCGCCAGCTCCACGAGTATCACAGATAAACCGAGATTGAAATGTTGCTAATACACCGTGTTCGATACCTGGTCCATATACTCGAACCTAAAAAATACAAAAATATATTTACCTCTCTTTATCTCTCTCTTTGATAGTATAAATTAAATTCATGATAGAATACGTATCATAAATAATTATAAATAATATACTTTTGATGCATCAGGGGCTCCAGAAACACGTAACGTGAAAGGTGAACCTGGTACGTGTTCTCCTGCATATTTAATTGTTAAAGCATGTCTGCCAGCTTCTTGAGGTTTTACGTTAAGTGTGAATGTTGCATCACCATGATCATAAAGCTCACAATAAGCTACTTTATGTTGACCAACACAATGAGCTGTTAATTCACCTGAAGATATAAGTTAAATCATGAAATATATTATATGACAATAGATTAAAAATGTTATAAGGATTTTTTTTTTGTACCAGGTCCTGCTCTTCTTGTATCAATAAAACTTCTTATCTCTTGTCCAACTATGCCATGTCTTAAACCATCTCCCGAACAGATAACTCTGGATGCATCTGCTGCACTCGTAACATTAATTTGCAAAGGACATCCTTTTAATTGTCTGCCATTCCATGAGACAGTCATTAAAAGTGGATCTGGTGTTTGTGGTATATAACTTGCACGGTATACACTGTCGCCTGTATATTTTTTTCAAATATATAATGTACAATGTAACACAACTGTATTTATAGTTTTGTTCATTTAACTTACCTAAATGTTGCAGCATTACATTAAGTTCATTAGTAGGAGAGAAAAGTTGTACTTTCGGAGTCCCACTACCAGCTTGAGAACCATCTATTATAAAACTAACTTCTTCACCACATTTTGCTGAAGTTAATCCCCGACCTCGTAATAATACTCTACTAGTGTCTTGTACTGGTGGCTATAAAAAAGACAATATTGATATATTTATTCACATTTCTTCTTAATCTTATAATATTCTTTATTTAAAAACCTCAAGATCCTGAACGTATGCAAGTTTTGGTGCTCCGGGAAAAGGTACACCATTAAAAAATATTTCTAAACGATGCTCTCCGCTAGATAAATGAGGTAGTACTAGTTTCAATCTGTTACTAGAAGTCATTTCAAATGTTAATGGATGATCTCCGATATTTCCAGTTAATTCACCAGGTCCTGCTTCAGCAGTATCAAAACTAATTTTATTAGATGGGTGTAATTTTAAACGACCAATATCGTCACAAACAGCAGTCCAGCCACCTTATATGCAAAGATTTATAAAATGATAAATAAAATTCATTATTGAATATTATTACATAATGATTTTATCAAATAATTTACCAATAACACGGAGATTACGAGTGTCTATAATTTTTGGATGCCAAGGGGATCCAGGTAATTGCTGACCAGCAGAAACAACCCTGATGTCAAACACACCTACTTCAGTAGGAATATAAGATACATTCCAAGTTCCTGGATTAACGCCTGCCTCTACAGTTGCTTTAGAAACACTATCTGGACCATCCACCTATTATTTGTGTGACACAACACATACATTAATATTATTAATTTATATATATATATATATATATATATATATTTAAAATGATTATAAATCATGTATCAATCTTTTTTTATATATACCTGTACTGCTGGAGGACTTCTCGTTCCAGTAACAATAAAGTGAGCTGATTTACCTACATGACCACTTAATAAGCCTTCACCTTTAGCACGAGCTTGTCCAGCAGCATCAACTGTACAAGCTACTGGACTACCAGGAATAGAACATCCGCCTGTTTAAAAACGCTAATGAATATTGTATTCAATTATTTAAAAATTAAATTAGTACATTTAAATTTCTTACCATATGTAATATTAATCATATAAGTTCCAGGAACACTAGGTGAAAATTCAATCATTTCTGCTCCATCGTTAAGAGGAGTGACTTGCAAAGGAAGTTCTTGCCCTAAAGGACTTGTTGCAGTTACATCTAAGTCTGCTATTCCAGCTTCCGTTTTCATTACTATAATCATATATTTTAAGATGTTATTTAAAAATGGAAGAATAATGTGTGAGAATATTATAAAATAATAGATAATTCAACCTACATTTAAGTGCAATGTGATCATGAACAGTTACCGTCATTGGTCCCAATTCTTGAAGTTTTACTTTTGAAGCATCGAATGCCTGACAGAAGAAAGGTGAACCCAAAACTGGTTTTGCACCATGTAAGACATCAATTTTATATGTACCTGAGAAAAATACAATAAAATACATATTATTATAGTATACATATATTAACTAATTATTATACTTACCTACAGAATTAGTGGTAAATTCAGCTAATAAATTTCCATCTCTATGTTGATAACATCTCACAGGTACTGCATTACCTTGTGGACCACTGATTACAACATCAAATTCTTTCCCAGGACGTCCTAATGTCTCGATAGTAAACGAAGTTACTTTACTAACGCATGACTGATACAAACCTAAACCAGTTGCAGTTACTTCTCGTCCACCCGTAGGACTACGTACTGTTACATCTAATGGACTTCCTACAAAATTAAAATATAATATATAGTTAACATATTATATATTAACTGTATTATATAAATATATACCTGAAATATGAACATCGTTATATTTGATATGCACTTTGTGAGGAGCTGCACGTGTTGGATGAAAAACAATTTCATAAACACCATTATCTCCTTCTCGAATTAAACTATCAACGTCAGCTCCACCAGCACGAACATTTACAGTTAATTTCCCAGGACCAGCTTCTTTTGATGCAATAACTACAAAGAATTTCAATATTATAAATCTGTTCTTTCTCCTCTCACATATATNATCAAAAGCTTGCAGAGTTTGAGTACTAATAACTTTGTGACCATCACTAAACATTACACTGTAAGTACCAACTTGACGTGTTCGAATTTCTACTCATTAGAAAATAATAGTACCTAAAATTGTTCCAGGACGATGACAAACTACATCAGCAACTTCTTTAATAGATACTTTACTTGGATCAAAAGCTTGCAGAGTTTGAGTACTAATAACTTTGTGACCATCACTAAACATTACACTGTAAGTACCAACTTGACGTGTTCGAATTTCTACTCGATATAAAGTAGAAGATAATTTAGTCAATGTACTTGGTATAATTATTCCATCTGGACCTGTTGTACAAAATATAAAATATAATAATTATAAAATTATAATAGATAATTTATTTAGCTTAAATTATGGTTTACCTGTTACTTCTGCAGATACTGGTCCTTGTAAACCTAACATATCTAAATCCATATAAGCTGTATTTCCAACTCGTATCATAGAAGGTCCATCTAACATATTTGTAGTAACAGGACATTTAAATGGACTACCTGAAAAAAAATAGATAATTTTATACTCAATTTAAGAAATGCAATAAAGGTATATAAAAATCATTTAAATATTTAACGTTTACAAACCTGGGACATTATCATCATTAAAACTAATGTTAACATAATGGGTACTTGTGGTTTGAGGGACAAATGTTACATCATAAAGACCACGCGCACAAGCAACTACTTCAGCCTTAACTGTGTTATTTTCAGTGCTTACTACCAATTCTAATGTTCCCTCTCCAGCTTCTGCTGCATCTACAGTAAAAGTTGTGGCTTGGCCTAATAAGGCTTCTGTAAGACCAGATACATGGACCTGTTCGTATTTATAATAAAAGATTATATTTTAAATATTGTATATTCATAATATATAATATATCATTTTAAAATTTACCTTAGTAACATCATAAATATTGCAAGCAAATGGTGACCCTTTAATTGGTTCTCCGTCTACTAATATACTAATATTATGTCTCCCAACTTCTGTAGGTACAAAACTTACATTATATTTGCCATCAATAG